TCTCACCGCCTCTTCGCCTGCTCCAGCATCGCCGATACCGCNGGATTTCACCACCCGCAGCCCGCATGGGCCTTCCGTCATTGCCCCAGCCTGGGTCATGACGGTCGCCCACAGCTGGGTGTTGGGGACGCGGTCAGACTCCCCGAGATTCAGCGCCTTCCGAGCGGCCCTAAGTGCCTCCTTACGGCGGCGGTGAGCCTCCTGGACGTCCTTTTCTGTGACGACGCTGTAAACTGCGAGCTGCCCCTCCGGACCAGCAGCGGCCACCTGGGGCATTGTTCCTGCCCCCGCGTTGCTGGGCTGCTTTCCTCGAGGCCCCACGTTCGGCCCCTCGTCCAACTGCTGCTGCTCCCCCTCTCCCTCTTCCTGGAGTTCTTCGCGCAGCAGTTGCTTCCAGCCTTCCATGCCGTACCGCCTGATATACCGCGCCGCGATCCGCCTCTCTTCACGCTCCGGGTCTCCCTGGCCCTGTCTTGAGTCCCGTGGTACTTCTTCCCCGGCAAATTCAGTCCGCGCCTCCGACGGCGGCCTCACTCGTACCGGTCCGTGCAACGGTAGCCGCGTCACCGCCACGCGCTTTGGGGATGGGGCCACGACTCCAAGTCCTCGCGTACGGAGCCGCTTACCCTTGCTTCGCCTATTCGCCTTCGCCGATGAAGCCGCTTTGCGGGCGTCGTCGCTGTCTGACGACTCTTCCTGTCCCTCCTCTGAGCCTTCTTTGTCCCTTTCCTGTACGCGGTTCCATTGCGTCGTGAAGGCATTCTCTGGGTCAAGGCTAACGGCCTCAGGCAACCCAACCTGGGTATTCGCTAAGCGAGGGCAACCACCCTTAGTGCTGGCCTTCCAGAAGCGGATCCATGCAGGCGGGTTCAAGGTAATCCAACCCTGCGCGGGAGCATGCCCCTGTGGCGGGCCTGCCGGGTGCTTGCGACAAAAGCTACGGGCCTAGGCAACTTCAGCCTGGGTGCTTCGCCGCGCGACAGCAAACCCGCTGGGGCTGGCCTTCCGGATGCATGCGACCAAACCTACCGGCCCAATGCAACTCAGCCTGGGTGCTTCGCCGCGCGACAGCATACCCGCTGGGGCTGGCCTTCCGGATGCATGCGACCAAAACCTGCCGGCCCAATGCAAATCAGCCTGGGTGCTTCGCTGCGCGACAGCATACCCGCTGGGCTGGCCTTCCGGATGCTTGCAACTAAACCTAACGTCCTAAGTGCGCCTCAGCCTGGGCGCTTCGCTGCGCGAAAGCATGCCCCCTGGGCTGGCCTTCCGGATAGAATGCAGCTCCACACGGTAGCTCGGCCCTTCGCGAGACCTCCTTCGGATGAACCGCATCGGCCCCCTCCGGGTAACTAGTTGGTCCGCCATTCTGACGTCCTCCTTCGTCTCGCTGTTGAATGATGTCCTCCAAGCCTTCTTGGACTCCGCCGCGCGATTCCTCGCGCTCTGCCATCACTTCGCTGTTACTGGCGACCGATATGCCAGCAACGTCGGATCGCCTTATCTACTTTCCTATTGAGCTGGGTCACGAATACAAAGTAAATCCCTATTTAAACAATTCAAACTCCCCAACAGACGACGTTCTGACTTGCGCTTGCTTGCATGGTTGACTGGCGAACTTGCGTTGTCTGGATTCAGCGCTTTGTTCCCAGCTAAACTTTGTAACGAACTACCGTATCAGTCCCTGTCCTCTGGCCCATTCTGGTCTGCGCCTTCCCGCGCCGCACTTGCCGTACTGCACTACAGGACGAGCACTTAATCAACATGCATAGCTTCTGACGTGCAGACACAATCGCCGGACATTCTACCAAAAAATGTTTCTCATCCTCAATAGCTCCATTGCTACAACACACAGCACACACGCGATGCTCCCTAGCCCTGTTGCGCTCACTGTTAACCGCGAAGTCGGAGACACACAAACGAAAACGGATTAGGGCACGATGATGCGCCGGGGGGTGGCAGTGTAGGCGTACATGAGTATGCATGTCGTACGCCGACTGGGCTATCGGCGTACGATAGATATGGTCATATCGACGAACGACAATCTTGCTATTAGTGGATACGTTCAAGCTTCATCTGTTAACCAATATCACTGACAATAAGGAATTGTATGTCGCGCTGAAGCATCCTCAAAAGTTTGCCCGCGCCGAGGTCCCGCCCGGAAACAGCTCCTTCCTAGATAATCACATAAGAATTACTGTCATTTACAACGTGTCAACATTCAATTTTACTAAACATATTTATCAATGACAGCAATTACCCAATGCATGCCGTACGTTAATTCAAGAGGGCATACCAAGATTTGTAAAATTTTTGAAACATATACTATTCCCTAAAATCCATTTTGGTACGTTGTGTAGGTTTAGGCTTCCAGCTCCCGGTTTTCTTAAACCACGCACAGCTGCATTCTGCAGAATAAACGTCGGAAGTCCCTAAAATACCCATACCTAAAAGCATCTTTATATATCCAGGGTCTGCTTAAATACATAAAGGCAAGCGAACGTGCTTGAAGGCAAACCTTTACAACAAGCAAGGATTAGCTAGACCTCGGAAGTCTAGCTAGTGTCCTAGACAGGCACAGTTCCTTCACTGCACTTTCATGTAGGCGCAGTCTGTGCCCACGGTGAAGCCCTGCTTATTTCCTCCGCCACAAACGTAAATCACTTCATCCGCGTTGGCCATTGGCAGGCTATTGTTGGGTGCAGGACCAACCACAGGAAAGGCCCCTTGGCGGGGTACCGACATACCCGGCAGCCCCTTGTCCCAGCTGTTCTTGGTCGGATTGTACCTGAATGTGATAAATGGTAAGTGCGAAAAAATGGCAGTAGCGGCAAGCAGGGGCTCACACATCAGGCGAATAGTACGGCTTAGATTGCCGCGGGCCCGGGAATGGAGCGGTAGGTATTGAATGTCACCGTGGAATATTCCGAAATCAGTGGCTCCGTGCGTAAATACGACAAGCGGCACCTCACTGTGTTTGTTGAGTCCTCAGTAGGGATAGGTATGCATGTAAAGAATAGAGATGTGCACGGTACGCAGGTTGTTATGCCACCGGAACCAGCTCTTAAGCTGTATTGAAAGGCTTTGTTTTATGTACAGCGGAATTCAAGCTGTCATCACATAGACAAATCATCTCCTATAGAGTAATCGTTTCATGGCCATGATTTGACCACGAAATTAATTTATTTACATAGTGGCAGGCGTATTGCTGCTGCTGCTGCTGCTGTGTCGCATGCACACGTACACACATACACGCACACGGTAGCCACCACCAGCTGCAGCTGTAGTCACCACCACCAGCTGGTGCTGTAGTTGCTGGCAGCTTCAAAACGCCTCCTAAGATGCTGGCAGAGCGCCTTCACGCACATATTTCTTAAAGGCGATATGTGTGCCGTACTATCTAGAGCTACCACACCGACCAGGCCATTAACCATGGCAGGTATCTCATGCGGGGGGACACGCGGGATCTGTATGTATATCTGTATCTGTAATAATGAGCGAGAAATTCTTTGCCACCTTATTACTTGACCTCTCCGTGTTTGCCCACCTGTCGATTCGGTCTAGCACTCCTAGGGGCGTGAGAGCAACCAATGGATTGGGGCAGTTTCCCATCCAGGTCTGGCCGCACCTGCGGATGGTAACATCACCAGTGGGGCGGGGTGGTAGATCATATGGACGTTTTAATGTGCACGCATGAGCCCATGACCGGGCAGCAGGTGTAAGCACCTGAAACTCCTCCAATGGTTTGCTGGTGCCTTTACCCTTCCCTCGAGCCTTGCGATGTTCTTGCTTGCAACGTGGCTTATGCTTGACGTACATACCTACATACCTACATAATACAACCGTGTATCCGGGGCCGAGATGTCACAATCCGAGCCGGCTTACTTGACCTCTCCGCCGACAATGTAGAAGCATTTGTTCAGGTAGACAGCGGTACCCGCTCCCCCCCGGCCGACTGGTGTGGCAGCAGGACCGCCAAGTTGTGTGCTGGATGTCCAGGTCTGTTAGTGCAGCAGCGGTCATCAGGACAAAAGCAGGGCCCTATCAAGCCAGAAGATAGATCGACAGACGGAAAGCCTTCGATGTGTCCTAATAAGGTAACGTGCTGCGTTTCTAAATATCGGCGAAATCAAACGCACCTATCCATGTGCACTCACATCAGTTTTTGGAGTGTAGATCTGCGTGACGTTAAGTGGGTTGCGACCGTTACCCGCCGTACTGTTGCGACCAGCAAAGGAGTACACGCGCTTGCCGTCTGTGGCCATGGAGGCGTGGTGTACGGCATGTTGCATGGGGGCCACGGAAGACCATTTGTTAAGCGGTACCTGGAACTTACTGCGTGTGGATGGGCAGGTGGGGCCAGCAGCACGCAGAGGCAGTCGGGCGGACGAGCGATTCACATAAAACAGCAGGCGTGGCTTGCTTGCACGCATCAAGTTATATCATACATACATACATACATACAGGTCAGGTTAAAGTCACACATTAACGGGTTGCCAGCGTGAATGAATGAACGAGCAAGCCAAATGCCGGTATTTCGCGCACGCACTCCAGTGTGTACCTACTGTACCTTTTTATTCGCACCATCTCTCTAGTCGGAAGTCCAGGCATGGACGTTACCCAAAAACCTTGTATGAAAATGCGCTAATCTGGGCGCCCCGATCAATAACGCATTATTAACAAAACAACATGGCTGGGAGCAGCAGTTAGGTGTCCTGCCGGTGGTGTGACCTTGTAGTAACTGCCGTATAGTACGGCATACACATCGTCTATAACTAAGCGCTAAGGCACGCTGTGACCATAGCTATTACAGATAAATACCCTCCCCCATTCCTTGTCTTGATATGTACGGCAGACCGACGATCCCCTAAGGTACGAGAGCAGCCCTGCATCCAGAAGAAGCCAACCCACTCACTCACCCGCATGCGGCAATGGGTGGGCCATCCTTGTCATTGCCGTTGTCGACACCGCCGCAGTAGTAGATGGTGCTTCCCACAGCAGTGGCGGCAGCCGCCGCCGCCTTGAAGGGCGGCGTGGGGCCCACGGTCCAGTTGTCGGTGATGGGGTCATAGATCTGCATGTTCTCTGCGGATAAGCACACGGGTGCACACTTCTCGGATAGTTATTGCAAACGGGGAAGTAGCTGTAGCACGTGGTACGGCACACATGACGTCTACAATTACATACGCGCTAAGGCGCTCCGCAAGCATATGCGTCTTGAGCGCGGCCAGCAGCTACTGCACTAGGGCGTACGACGCTCAGCGCGCGCACGCGCGTGGACGTATGGCTGATGCGAACAGGGGATATGAATCCACCTCGAATATTATTAGGCTTCGCGCTTGAATCGCAGCTACAACTCCCTACAGCATCCCCTGCCTAAAACAAACTTGCGAAGCTAAGTAGTCTACAAAACATGGATGTAGGATTATTTTGTACATACGTTTTTGTTGTTGTTGTTACATGGTCGTGGGTGCGTTCCCCGTACCTGCAAACCACTCTAGTACGAGCCGAGGGCTCAAGGGCTGCCAAATCGCCTACAAGCACCATCCTACCTCGCACTTCCAACGAAACAAGTGATGAAGTATACTAACGACCAAAGGGAACGATAGAGTTGCGATATGTAACACCCAAGCAGAGGAGGCACATGCGTATGCGAAAGAAATGATGTAGGGCGTGGCGGATCTTCAAGTAATAAATCTCTGTCAGGTTATTTATAAAAATACCCTACTACATTCCAGAATTCGAATTATCGCTTTTCTAGAATATTCTAATTGTATAGAACCCCTTATAATATTTAGATAGGTTCTTCATCAATTTAACAACTAAAAATCTACAACAACTTATAAGCAGAGCAGTAGATAGCTGGTGCCTGCTGCTGCTGGCTCGTTGGTAATAATAATCAGCTTTAACTAACCATAGCGAGCGAACCGACGATAGAACATTCGGGGCTACAAGTGTGGCTAGTTTTCTCTCATGCACACATGCACCTCCTCATGCATCTCACCCGTAGTTCCACCCCAAAATCCGCCAATGAGGTAGAGCTTGTTGCCGTACGTCGCTGCCGCCATGTGGTGCCCCACGAACGGACGCTGGGCCTTACTGTCGTACATCCGTACGTAGATGCAAAAACGGCGCCCAGAAAGGAACGGAAAAGGAAGTGGGAACGCCCCCCAACGTTTGCACACATTTAAATCCTCCAGGTAAGGCATGCGCTTACACCCGGCGGCGCTTACATATCGGAACAGGCTAGCAAAACTAACCTACCATGACGTCTGGAGATATCGTTATCGCCTTTTAATTGTCTCCCAATAGGGACGGTCCATATGTACATATCAGGGCGTGACCTACAGACTCTGTAGGTATATATAGTTTTTACAAACGTGCGTGCGTGCGTACTGCTGTGGTGGATAAACAAACGAACGAACGAACGCATCCATACGTACGTACGATTACAACTGTACCGTACTGCAGGCACCTACACGGTGAGTGAGCATGTCTTCTATGCGGGGTTGGGGAACAGGCTGCGAGAAGGAAATTTTCCTGCCCCTGCATGTCGCCCACACGGAAATTTTCCTGCCCCTGCATGTTCTTCCACATGACGACCCGGGTGACCTCATGCAAGTCGGCGAGGAGGAGGAAGTGAGAAATATAGTAGTAGTCCGCGGAAATGGGGATACGGAAATACCCCCTAGGTAAATGGGGCGACGGACAAGATGCAGGAGGCCTAATAATAGACCCCTTCGCATAGCGTCCCATAATGTAGCAGGTTTATTCACGCATTCGGCATTTACTCGTATCCATGCTGCGGCTAGAGTATGGGCCCAACATAGGTTAGATGTCATTTGTTTACAGGAGACACATCATATGGGAGATGGAGACCTGACAATTCTCACTAGAGAATTGCAATTCGCGGCTCAGAAAATAGGGATACCGGGATGGGATATAATAGCACAATCCCCCACGACCAATGCCCGGACGGCTGGAGTGTTAGTGCTAGTGCGCAAAGATCTTTATCGCGACTTTAAAATAATACAAACACCGGCACGACTACTTCCGGCTAACATTCCCCAAGGCCGTAGCGCGTCGGTTTCGTTCACGTGGTGTGGTCACCGTATTCATTTGATTAATTTGTACCTCATGACATCTAGTTACTCGATAGATCAGAGGAAGGCGTGTGTGCATTCTCTTGGCGATGTGGTAAATAGGATAGGACAGGATGATCATTTGCTTTGGGCTGGAGATTTTAATTTTGTCCATAATCCGATGCTAGATTCCACCACAGGAGAAGGGAGTAGACCCGCGGACTTATCCTTAGCCAAGGCTTCTCCGAATGCGCCCGGATAGG